TGAGATGCTATTGCTTTTGTTAAACCCTGCTGCTACTATACTACGCTCTTTTAGTGTACCGAGATGACAGTGACTGTTCCAAGCCCCGCTGTTTTTCATCTTGTACAGATCCAGTCGTATATGCCTTCAAGATGTCGGATACACCCGGGCAGCGCCAGGCCAAAGTCGACAGCTCCTCGGCCTGTCAAACCGGAAAGCTCCCGTCCTCTGACGGTTTTCCCCCGTCGCCCAACTTCTACATTACCGTTCATTGTTTCGCAGAACAAGCAACCTTGACAACTCTCTTGGTACAATCTGCGTCATCTCAAAGGGAAGCCCTCAAAGAGTCCGCGAAGTTGTTCTATTCCTTGTCTCGCGATCCTCGCTAGGGATGGTCTGGCCAACGCGCAAAAGTTTGGTTCTGAAAAGCTGCACTGTACCACACACTTCGGATCCTTTCCTTAGCGCCAACTGGTACGGATACTGTAAGGCTTTGTAATTTACCCCACCACCCACCCCCGATGAGGTGCCCCCGGAAAGCTTCCCATTGACTGGGAACGGCCCAAGCGGTTTCCTCCCTCGCCAAAAACCGAAGTCCCGCTGTGGCAGCACTGGCAGCTCCCTCCACACCCACTGTGCAAAGCACCCCCCTCACCTCACCCATCCCACACCAGATCTCTCCTCCAACCCCCAACTTTTTTTTCCCTCCCGGTCATCTTTCTCCTTGCGCTCCTGTAATCTGTACCTGCACCGCGCTCCTCCACCCGCTGTCTTATTGCGCGCGCCCCTCACCGTCGTCATTTTTTATTTTTACTTAGTTTGGAGTCCGCTGCCGCGTCCCAACCGAAAGACAACCCACTCCGACAATCCAACAAACCACAAGCAGCGCTCTCATTTACCTCGCGGTACCTGACAGCTTCTCCACTCGAGTCGCGCACCGCCGCGCGTTTCCACTCGTTCTCCTCCCTCGATCAGCGCGATCGTCGCTTCGACGATTCAAAACCCTCTCCTTCGCCGCGCGCAACGCTGCACTGCGCGAGGCATGAACGGGGAGTACAGCCCGCCTAGTGCAACTTCCGGCGCGTCCACCGACGCCACTCTGTCGCCGAACCGATTTCTCGCAACCACAACAAAGAATACCATGGCCGTTCCGGCCTTTCTCCCGCCACCGCAGGCCTACCGCCCTACCGCCACTCCTCAGTCGGGCTACCCGCCATCTCTCCCGAATACCAATTCCTATGATCGCGACGCGCATAAGCCACAGGGAACGCCGTTGTCCGTGACGCCCCCAACGCTCTCTTCGGCGCTGATCCGGAACCTCCCGCTGAACACGTCAGAAGAGTCGCTGCGCCTCATGATGGTCTTTTCCAAGGATCTCGTCGATGTCGAGGTCTTGCCCGCCGAGCAATCTGCCGATGCAGGCTTCCGATCTGCCGTTCTCAAATTCAAAAGCCCGGCTGGCGCCCAGGAGGCCAAGAACATGCTGGATGGTAGGTCCAACATCTCGAATGATGCCGAGATGGTCGTCGAGATTCTAGGCAGCGCAAGTCCCACCACGTCAGGGAACCGATTTCCGATTGACATGGCCACCGGTGCATCCAACGGAGCCGTCTCCGCGACCCCATCCGCACCATCGTCAAGGCATAAATCGCGATTCGATGGAACGTTCCAGTCGTTGGAAAAGATCTCTCCTCCCATGAACGGCATGTATGGAGGTGACTTGGCTACCCACGAGACCGGCCCGTCCTCCTACCAGAACCTCTTCGGGCCCCAGTCGCCGATCGGAAACCATCTTGCGAATGGCGCTCAGGTCACGGGCAAGTCGCTAATCGATTCCGCCGAAGACGACGAAACCAAGGAACTGCTCAACGACCCGGTTGGCTTTGCCGAGAACGGCCTGCAGCGCCGCCAGACAGCACCGCAGCTACCCATATCTCACATGGCGGGCCTCTCGCTGACCACCTCCCCGAGTCCCGGCGCGCACGCCGTGATGCCGTTCTATGGCCATGCCAACATAGGGTCGCTCTCGGGGCTGTCGAACACCATGTCTCCGACCACGATGGGCGGACCCGGAACAGGCTACAATTCTCAGGTCCAACACCGGATGAACAACTTCCCGCCGGCTAACCCCGCCGACCAGAACCCGCCTTGCAACACGCTCTATGTCGGCAATTTGCCCCTCGACACGTCGGAGGAGGAACTCAAAGCCCTGTTTTCGCGACAACGAGGATACAAGCGGCTCTGCTTTCGGACCAAGCAGAACGGGCCTATGTGTTTTGTCGAGTTTGAAGATGTGACCTTCGCGACCAAGGCCCTGCACGACCTCTACGGACAGCTTCTCCACAACAGCGTCAAAGGCGGCATTCGCTTAAGCTTCTCCAAGAACCCGCTCGGTGTCCGTTCTGGCCAGAACCAGGCCCAAAACGGCGCGGGTGCCCTGGGTAGCATGAACGGAATCCACTCCGGGTCAAACGGCGGGTTCACGACCGCCAATGGACCTCCGCCAGGTCTGAGCGCGCCTCCCGGCCTCGGCTCCAACCGTAGTGGATATACGGCGTCGTCTGCTCTCGCCACCGGCACGGCTACTAATTTCTACGCCTCGCCCACCGGCGCTAATGGGCCCAGTAACCCTTGGGGCGGCATGTACAGCGGAAACGGACATGCGATGGCTGGCACCACCTCGGCTTTCTCATCGTATATGATGGGTCGATGATTAATGAAGCGTGGATGTTTCAGAACGGCCTCGGGCGCATTACTCGCATGCGGCGGCGTCTTCCCATACAGCAGCTCAACGGCGTACGATCTGGGTTCAGGCATTCTTTTTTTCTCCTTTTTTTCCGTTTTCACCTACGTAATGATTCCCAGGTTTACGATGTTTTGTGGGTTTTTCGGTTGTTGCATTTGTCGGTCTTCTGACTGGGTTTTTGCGGCGGGCATCAGAAACTTAGAGTCTGCTTTTTGATCCCCTCGGGATTTGGCAAAGAGCACTCGAGTTTCGGGGCTCTTTAATGGGCCATGGTCACGCGGGCATTCATCTCACCTCGGGGTTTGCACATACATGATGAGGATGAGCAGGGCGCAAGGTCACGAAGGGAGGCGGAGTGAGGGGGCATGCGCTCAAGGCGTTGCGTCGGTTGGGCATCACTGTCAGCGTCCCAGAGTCAGCATCGATCAATGGTACGGGTCCCCTTCATGGTCATTAGGGGATGCGTTGGAGTTCTGGCAAAGGTTGGGCGTGGTTTCCAACAGCGGATGGCCGGACTTGGGGGGAGGTGGGGAGTAATTGTTTTCCGGCAGTGGACGAGCGCACGAACGGGGGCCATGGCCCCTTTTCCAATACACGAGGACTACTTGCGCCACGACACCCACCTTTTTATGCGGTACGATACGACCAGAATAACACGCATCAGCGAAAAAGAAAAAGAAAAAGAAGAAAAAAAACACAACATATGCGGGGATCATCATCGTACTCGGGGCAAGCACAGGCACATGGACATCTGGGATATACCAGCAAAAGACTTGGGAAGGGAGGATTGATACAGCACCGGCGCTTTACACACCATCGGAAAAGGGGGATCGCATTGTGGTTTTTCTCTTCATACCGGCCTAGTTTATTCCATCGGGGTTGGATGGTTTCGCATGCGGAGATGGGTTGTCGCATCCAGCACACGCCCCGTCTCCCGTTTTACGTTTTACTCTTATCCCATCTCTTTTCACTTCTTTATGAGACGGGTTCTTGTCATTCCACCTTTTTCAACCTGCGACCAGATCACCCTCCAGGGACATGGCATTATCATTATTGCCTTGGTGTTGCATGTGCCAACCAGCAATGGCCACCAGCGATCTTGTTCTCTTTTCTTTTCCTTGTTATTTTTATTACAGTGGTGTTTCATTGGTGCGACGCGTCATCTTCCATCATCTCATTGCGGCTGCTTGCTGATATAAAATGGTTCATTGGGGTGGGATCCGATACCTCTGGGGGCGTGGGCTGTGTTTCGTTTTGCTGGGTTTGGTGGGAGGATCCATGGCGGGGAGTTGGAGTTTCATTTCTTTTCTTGGCTGGATCGTTCATCTACGCGGTGTTCTCAGGGTTGCCCCCGGTCTCGTGCTCGCGGGAGTCGAGGACGGTTCCGGGGAGGGCGTGTTCGGCGTCGAACATGTCTACAGGGACTCGGCCGTCGTTTGTTATTCCTGTCTGGCTGCCATGGACGCCGGGCTGAGGGGACGGGCATGTGTCGAGCGGCTTTTCGAGCGTGGCTACATGGCCCGATCTCCGCTATCATTTACTCTTGAAGTAGGTGCATGATAGCAGTTTAGAGGAACGGAGATGAATGATCGAGCACTTTGTTTCACGGTTGCAAACCAGGCCACCCTTTTCCAGCTCCAATGTTATGTGTGACCAAAGGTCAGGAAAACGCAGACAATATCCGGCTAGCGATCACCCTTCCCGCATTCATCATGAATCACCGCCCTTTGGCCAAAACGCCGGCTGGGAAAGGTAAGAAGAAAGAAAAATAAAGTCTCGAATAAAAAAGAAGATGAAAGTGAAAACAAAACAACAACATTTAAGGAAACAGAGTAACTAAACTAAAAGTAAAGCCTCGAAAATATAGGTATATTTGGGAAAGAGAACTTTGTATTCGACGTCGGTATTTGCCCAAGGATATAGGGAAACTGGTAAAAACCTGTATCGGCTGTGTCTATCTAAGTCCTCCCGACGTACCAGGCGCTCCTATCAAATGAATATCGCATCGGGGTAGCGTATATCTACGCTAGTAAGCAAATGGGTATTATGATAAAGTAAATAATAATAACAATAACGCGTTGCAAATAGCCACTTAACAGCGACGATATATAGAAAGATCGAGATAGGGAGATATCTCCCGTATAGTCTCGCTGTACCAATCCTCGGAATGGTCGATACTTCGGCCCTGTTCGGTCTCCTCCTCCTCCTCCTCCTTATTATAACCTAAACCCAACGGATAATCGCTAGCCGTAGCCGACTGGGGTTGGGGCGATCTTATAATATCTGGGTCGATGAAGAATTCGTTGTTCGTCTTGTATGTATTGTCGTACATCTGCACCCACGGATTCGAAGCCCATTGCTGTTGGCAGAAGTCGTTGGTCCAGAATAAACCCTCTGGCTTGGTGGGATCTACCGCCGACCACAGGGTTCGATGTGGGAGACTCTGTTCCTCGAGGCGCTTCTTCGTGCCTTGAAAAGGTGTATATCCATCTGCTGCGAAGAGGCAAGCATTGTCAGAGACGAATATGTCGGTGCAGCAGGGTTGCCACCGCCGCTAAGGTAGTTCGGCAGTGTTCAGGTATCGGGCCCGGTTGCCGACCTTGGCCCAGGTCACTTTGCCTGTATAAACCCAAATCTTCTCAGAGATTCATCACATCTCAGGTACCGTTTGAACAATGCGATGGACACTCCTCTGACATCCAACGGACATGCCATTCTGTCCCAATCACAATCTGAACATGCGACGGACATGCCATCTGAAGAAGAAACACTGCCGTCCGAAGGTGTTGCTACCTACCCATAGTTTTATTCTCGGGCTAACAATTACCAGACACCGGCAGGCGAATCAGAACCCCTCACATGCGTCCTCCATCGAGATGGAGTCGGCATGCCGGCAGCAAGGCCACGGTAACGCGTTGCTCTTCTTCTCCTAGTCCAAGCGTTTCAGCACTCGTATCGAAGCGCGAGGCCACGATCGACTCGGTTTTTTCACCATCAACATATACAATGGACTACTTTGCCGGCCACTTCCCGCCTATGGGGCTCGATGAGCAAGGCCGTGACGGCGATTATCCGGCAACGAGGTTTCTAGAAACCGCTCCCTAGCGATACGTCCTGGTCTTGGTATCAGGTGGGCTATTGAGCCTTCTTGGAAGACCAGGGCGAGTAGGGGTGGGCTTGCTGGTATCTGGTCATCCGTTTGGAGAAGCGAGCTTCTCATGGCGTTGAGTCTTCTTGGAAGACCAGGACGAGTAGGGGTGGGCTTGCTGGTATCTGGTAATCCATTTCGAGAGAAGCGAGTTCTCAAAGAATAAGAATAAGTATGCGGCCGCCACTCCTGAGCCGACTCAGTCGCCCTCCCCCGAGCCGCCCAAGCCTCCCGAGCCCCCGCCGTCTCCAGAGCAGCCCGAGACGCCCCCGCCGTCTCCTCCAAGGCCCAAGCCCGGGAAGAGACCCGCCTACAGCGGCAAGTCCGTTTATTTCAACATAGGTTCACTGGACTCCCGCTACGTTCTCCGAATCGACCTGGAAAAGTTTCCCCTCCCGCCCGTCGACTTAGGCAACCCCAAACGCAAGTACCCAGACAGCCAATGCTGGGACTTGGTCTATGATATGTCCTGGGGCCAGATGAACCTTATGGACTTGGAAGACTTCGTTCCACCACAGTGGTGGAGCTTCGACTGGGCGTTCGACCCCAAGATCAAGGAGCACCCTGACGAAGAGACCGTTTTTGCCTTCTAGGCCCGGGGCATTTCGCTAGTCTCATAACTCGCCTAGGTTGAAGGGAGGCACGAAATCCATTCGGAGATTGCTACGATCCTCCCCAGGGACTCCCTTGGCCCGGATCGTGCCAGCAAGACAACTAGCGCCCTGGATCGCTCCGCTATCAGCGGTCATCGTGGCAACCCTGCTGCGCCCATATACTCGTCGCTAGCGATGTGCCGCCCTGCACCCTCGCATCTCGGTATGTCTGAGTCGACTTTCATGGAGGAGGAGGAAGATGGGCACTTGAGATGAGACAGTCTGGTGGCATCCGGATTGTCATGAGCTCGGTGCCTTTGGTCCAACGAGACCGCAAGCATCGATCCCTACGCCTCGGATTTGCTTCCTGGCCAAATGCTACCCGCAAACTTCACTCGCACAGCGTACGTTTTCGTTTTCGTCATCCCTTCTCTCTTTCCCAGTGTATTCGGAGGTCGTCCTTCCAGCCTTCAAGAGGAGGCCGTTCAAGAAAAAGACTTGCTTCCGCTTCGGCCCATAGTGCATCGATGCCCTGTTCCAAAAAGTCCGCAGATAGCAGAGCAGCGTAACCGAACGTTGCCAGCCCTCCCCGGAATCTCCTAGAAAGCGGTTGAGGAGGGCGTCGTGATTTTCGTCGTCGTAATGCTTCATAGCTCCTTCAATCACATGTCACGACGGACAATATACCATTCCAACCACCACTCTTCACACCACGCATCTACCCCCTCCCCGGCCCGGCAGCTCTTAGCTTGTACATCGAAGTGCACCTTTAAAACAAAAAGAAAATATGTCAGGCTTAAAACGCATATGTCGGGCGTGGATGATGACCTCCATGTGCAGGTCAGGCCTTCCAATCGGCCCCGGGCTTCTATCTCCGGCATCTGAAATCCTTGCAACTCCAGCGTAGCAACCAAGCAGCCTGGTCGCATTGACGCGTCCCGGGGCTCTCAATCCGAGCCGTCCGTCGCTGCAATCTGCCCCAAAACAACAAAAAGAAACGACGGCCGTTGCGGCAGGGAGACGCACCATGTCCGACACAGAGCCAACGCCGGGGACCCTTTTTGGCACGCCCGTCGATTTTTTCCCCCTCCCGACCCCTTACCCTTCCTTGGCCGGATGCGAAGAAGGCATCTACCGCCAGGTCAACGACGGCACCATCCTGGCCTGGGACCCCGTTTACACACGGTTCGAGCCCGGCGCGAACGCCTGCTTCCCCCCGGTGCAAAGATCCTGGTGGGACCAGCCCAGCGATGCGGACCCGTCCACCGCGCTAGGCCCGACCTTTGTCTGCCCCGAGGCCTACCACGCTGTCCACACCACCGTCCTCGAGAGCAACTCCGCGTCGCAGGCGCACTACACCTACTGCTGCCCCAAGTACGTCCCCGCCCCCCCCCCCCCCCAACGGTTCACTCAGGTTGGGGCAATGAGGAAGAAATGCTCGGCCCTGACTCTGATGAGAACGGATCCTCCCTTATTGACTCCAACTTCAACGACGAGACTGGGCTCCGGCTGCTCAGTCCCCGGACAACCTGAGGCCGTGGGTTATGGAACTTCCTACAAGGCCTAATACTCCGGCTCCCACATCCACGCGTAGACACTGCCCACCATCCCCCCTGCAAAGCGAGTTGAC